CCGGAAAGTTAACAATATATAACCAGAAGAGTAAACAGTTTATAACCAGGAGAGTTAACTTTAGGAACACGTGGGGTGAAATAGCTTTGAACGTCACAGTATGTGCTTTGGTCTGTTTGGACGAATGACGGCTGTAGCGCAAGATACATATACGGCACTTAACATAGATACCCCACTCGTCACTCTATACTAACCAAAACCCCCTGGTCCTTGGGTTATCCCCTTGAGTTCCATACCTGGTAGCAATAAGTACGATCTTTAAAAGTGTTTTGGTATTACTCTGCCTTGGATCGAACCATCAGCCTTCTCGATCTCCAGACAGACACTCTATCCATTAGGCCACGACCTGTGATCTCTACATGAGGTGAAATATAAATGATAGATCTATACCGTCAGGTGAAACAGGATATTATTTAATGGCCCAATATGTGCATATGACTGCAGGTGACTGCAACAGGGCAGCTGTTACCATCCAACGTTTTAGAGAGTGCTGCCAACTGTTACGAGGATCCTGATATGGCACTTCTCGGAAATATGCAATGTTTGCTTTCAGTTTTATCATTAAGCAAATATCCGGACAAATTTATTCCCGTTAGCGGAAATTGAAACGTAGAAATCGATGAAATATGTTTAATATCACATCAGTCATATGTGTCCCAGTATGCTCGTGTAACGAAGTAACAACAACACTAATTAAACCTCAAATTGTAAAATGATGCTTTAAGAGAAAGGACAGAGTTTATGTATGTTGATAAATGAGTTTGTGTGTGAGTGAGTGGGTGAGTTCGGTTTAACGTTGTTGTTAACAAAATCCCAACCATATCAAGGCGAGGGACACTGCAAAAAGACTTCATAGTAGCAGGCATCGAACTAGGGAATTCGACATGACAAGCAAACGCCTAAACCACTTGGCTACCACGTCATACTTCCAGTGGTTATATCTCCATTACACAATGTATATTTGACAAAAAGGTTTGGATCCTGCAATATTTGTAATTCCGAACTGTACAAAGAACCACTGTCTCCGTTGCAAAACCATAAATATTCATTCCCAACCTTTTTGAGCATATGTCTGTTTTTTTATTGTCTATTATTCAGCATTGAAGGTTATATCCTGGAGATTATGCTGCTGGTTGACCACTTTCTTGTGTCGATGTACGTCATATTATCAGTGAGTGGGTTTAGTTTTAGACTGCTTTTAGCAATATATCAGCAATATCACTGCGGCGGACACCAGAAATCTGCTTCACACATTTTACTATGTGGGGAATCGAACCCAGGTCTTCGGCGTGATGAGCGAGCGCTTTGACTACTATGCTATCGCACCGTCCCACGTCTTATTATCAGTGGCTTTAGCTGCGTTGTTGTTATACATGCAGGTACCATTGTTCTTTTGCTCATTCATCTCAACTGCTAAAACTATTCAAATTCTCCGCTAATAATGATATCGCGAGATACAATAATTTGAAATTTGAACACCGAAGCAGCGATTGTGGACACAACAAATTAATCACCTGTCAAATGAGATGAGACAAGAAACTGTACTTCAGTGTTTCGAGATTTGAAATATAATGCAGTTAGATAACAAAAACAATAAAATGGTGAACTGTCAACGATCTGACAAACCCTGATTTCATTACTTTCCAACTGTTTGACTGTGTCACCTAAAGCAATTCCCAGCTTTAATATACTGCTTGATGGGGTGGTTGATTGAACATTCATATGAGAATTAGGTAAAAGTCTGGTTTTTTTCAAATACGCGTTTCTTTTTTCTTAACGAAGAATCTTAAACCATATTTCAGGTGCAAACCTTAATTGTCTGCCAATCATTTCTAATAAAATTGACATAACTGAGAACTTAAAGTACTGTTACCGGCTGTGCTTGCATCAGTGCTGCTTTATTAAAGCACATTGGCTCTCTCTGCGTCATCTGTCATCGATAAGAGACACACCCCATTCCGTCCCCAACCCCATGTATAATTGAACATTTTATAAAGAACTCATCTACTCTCGACATATTTTTTGAACATTAACGTTCTTCAATTATCATCATTTTACGTCTTGCTGCGTTCTATCAGAAACGTTCTTAATACTCTATGGCTATGAACTAACGCTACGATGGTATCCAATATATACACCGATTATATGCAGAAACAACATTTCTTTCTCATCTCTCCAAATCAAAACAAATGCATTTGCGAAACAAGATTACAAATTCATTCGAGAAGAATCAGAAAATTATTCGAAACCGCAAAATGAAGTTAGGCATGGGGTCTGTTAAACATGGCTATGAGATATCGGATCGGTCTTTGAAGCAGTTCTTTAGTTCTTAAAGGTTGCACAACTTTCCGTACATTTCAGATGTTAAAACCCGTGAAGCTACGGGTTAGAATTGGTCTTTAGTAACCAAAGCTTGTCGTAAGAGGCGAATAACGAGATCAGGTGGTCAGGCTCGCTGCCTTGGTTGACACATGTCATCGATTCCCAGTTGCGTAGATCGATGCTCATGATGTTGATCACTGGATTGTCTGGACCAGACTCGATTATTTACAGACCGCTGCCATATAGCTGAAATATTGCTGAGTGTGGCGTTAAACAACAAATCGACCAACTAAGATAGTCTGATTGGGTCAAACATTTCATACTAGGTAGCTAGATGTGAGATAACAACTTGTTGTGACAGAGTACATACGCTGGATGATCTGAAAGTTGCATTTGCGGGGTCACAACAGAGTAATTTATTCAAGATTATTCACAGCCGGCGCCATACCATGCATGCCTCTATAGACAGTTCTACAGATAGACACTATTCATCCTCGTGATGGAATCAGGATAGATACTCAACCGCATACACTAGTCATTGTGGCTGTAGGATAACAAGCAGAGTAGGGAATAACGTCATTGAATATATACATGGGGAAGGTCCATTCAGCGTTTGAAGCATATTGTTTATCTATGATCGTGTTTCTCTTACTATGAGTCACCAATGCTTCGGTAGCATAAATTGACAATTAAGGTTCGTGGACGTCCGTTGTGGGTTCCACGTATAAGGTTTATTATTGCATTAACTATTCTTAAGATTCTAAATGGGATTTTGCAACGTGTCCTAACATACGCAGTACTTTTTATGCACCCGTTGTGTGTTCCTTTTATAAGTTTAATATTGCATTAACTATTGTTAATACTCTCAATCGGGTTTTAGGACGTGTTCTAACATATGCATTACTTTTTATACATTTACTGACATTGCGTGAGGTTGGAATTTGTCAGCAGCTTGTTGGTCTTGCAGGCCGTGGTAATTATAAACGTTGGAAGGAGTCGTCTTAAACCACGGGGTTTCGTATTTGAAAGCAAATAATGCGGTCTTTTATGTGTTGTTCTTTTCAAGAAAATGAACCCCATAGTACCTATAAATGTTTAACTGCCAATTGTTCGGACGCATAGAAAGTCTTCATATCCGCTTTCAGACCACCGTGTTGATGATCCAGACGGCAATTAGTTTGTGCATCGTCCGTTCGTTACATTTCTTTAGATGGTAACAAAAACACATGGTAGGATAATAGGTGTTTATATACAGTCACTTCATCACAATATGTGGGTACGTTATATGTGTAGCATCCTAAACACGGTAGCTCACCTGACCGGTTCCGTGGATAAAACATCATGAAGAGCGCCTCATTTTAACACAGTGGAAGGACTTTACAATACGTCACATTACAATACATTAAAAGATGGCAGTTGTTATTAATACCTTGTCTGGCGCCCGGCGCTTAAGACCGGCTGGACCTTGAAAACTCATATTGCAAGCACTATTCCACCGACATTTATCCGACTTAGTGCAAGCACGCACACACACAAACACACGCACACACATGCAATCACAATCACGCACTCACAAAAACACACACATATAATCACGCACACACACACACACACACTGATCTCACGATTTTCTGCATTTACACTTTAATGAATAGGATGCGCTGGGAACGTAAATGTTACGTTGCCTACCAATAGTAGCAACATGTCAAACATTGTATGTGCCATTAATAGCTTCAGTATTGTTGCCATGACAACTAAATTGAATTCCGAATCGTAACAGATAGTGGTAGTAACATCTGTGCAATGTTTCAATTTCATTCAGGATAGTTCCGGAATCAAAACGAATGCTCTCTATTTGCTATATCATGAAAGACAAATGACAGGTGATTTAATCCACGTCAAAAACAAATGATTCAGTGTAAGAACAATTGATCTCATATCAGGACGAACGACTCAATACCAGAACAAACGTTCTTGTTCCACAGTAATTGTTATTATTTCACTGCTATGGATCGAATGACACCGGAGAAGGTCTGTGTGTGCTGAAGCGAGAATCTTCATGTCTTCCTGAAGACAATCGAAACTACATTTGAACGACGTTATCGTGGAGGACATGACGATCAAATTATGCAACGATGGCGTTTTAATCACTTCAAATAACCTAACCCAAAGAACAGGTTACGTTTCTTCAATGTGTCAGTGCACAAAAGCAGAGGAAAACGGTGACCTAACTCAAACCACTTGTTATGACAGACTTATAAAATGGCATTCTATTATATTACCATCATCATGGTACATAAAACCGTCAATGATTTTCACAGCAAAACGAATACAACGGAAGAACTTTGTCACGGCCATTTAGCAACTGTGTACCAGATTTATCAGCTATTTTCACAAAAGGTACTGAGTGGAACGGACGATGCACAACTCTATTTGAACAATATTTCACTTATATCACTGCGCGTCAGCTTAATGTGGATGGAAAGCCCGAAGTGATACAAAGCGAATAGCGTCGCCATGGCCATATGTGCCCCTATCAAATATCAGCCACAAATCACCTCACCCATCAACAGTGACCAAACATCACACAACATTTGACTACAATTTAAAGGGTTAAGAAAATACGTTGACTTATTTTTGATACTTTTGTTAACGTTTTGAATTTATTCTATGCACAGGCTTTTCGAGACACACCCTGACGTCCAAGAGGTGTTCATGCCTTTCAAGGGGAAATCAAAAGAAGACCTCAGCCACAGCGCCCAGCTGAAGGCCCATGCTCTCCGTGTGATGGGGACCGTCGAGAAGTGCCTAGCCAGGATCAATGAGCCTAAAAAGATGGAAGAACTCCTGCATGACCTTGGCGCCAAACACGTCCTGTATAATGCTAGGGTTGATTATATAGATGTGAGTATAACTGTTGTTGATATATATTTAGGTATGACCCGTGATGATCCGGGTTAGAATTGGTCTTCACCAACCGATGCATGTCGTAAGAGGCAACTAACGGGATCGGGTGGCCAGGCTCGCTGAGGTGGTTGACACATGTCATCGTATCCCAGTTGCGTAGGACGATGCTCACTGAATGGATTGTCTGGTCCAGACTCGATAATTTACGGACCGCCGCCATTTAGCAGGAGTATTGCTGAACGTGACGTTAAATAACAAACAAACAAACAAACAACAATAATTGGATATGAGCTACGATATTTAGGAAGTGTGCACGGAGGAGTTTAGACCATACGTGTTTCTTATGTGAAATAAATCAGTACGCAGCGAACGAAAACCTCTGAGATACCTTGAGGGTGCAAGGGATGTTTTCTTATAGTATGCTTTTGGAAAGAAATTGGTGGTCGCCTGAATTATATGGAATATCAAGGGTAAAACATTGGGTGATGATTATGGTATATGTGACTTACTGTTAATTGCACTTGATGGATTTGGTACTTGTGCTAATGCATACTTTTGCCGGTTTAATATGGCTGGCACAATGGGCCGGACTGCTTGACACTATCTGCTCATTTTGGCCCATACTTCCGGTGGTAGCAGGGTCGGTGCTAGCCTAATGGTTAAGGCGTCCGTTCGTCACGCTGAAGACCCGTGTTCGATTCCCCAAATTGGTACAATGTGTGAAGCCCATTTCTGGTGTGCCCCGCCGTGATATTGCTGGAATATTGCTAAAAGCGGCCTAAAATCATACTAAATCTATCAATCCGGTGTTAGCACTTGGCCTTCGCAGTCACTCTTCTTGCAGAGCTTCAAAGGTTGGTACACATTCCGTGCACCGGGCCCACACGACTTCCAGTCTCTGTCCACCTGGTGTTCATTGTTGCTGAGATCAGGACTGTCAGCTGGACAGTGGAGCACGTGCATGTTCCGATGACCGGACGTTCTATTGACGCTGACGTCGCGTATAGGCTATGTCACACGACTGTCCTGATAGCCTTATCCCCATAATGAATCCCTTTGAGTCGATTACGATGACGGATGAGATCTGTCCTGTACTTGGGCGTGATGCTATCCCACGCAATGGCTCAGCCATCTCAATATTGGTCGCTCCGTCTTATGATACACTACCTGTAGCACTCGTGACACTGGAGCAGAAAGTATTAGACCACAAATGCACATGTGCTCATTACAGCTGACATAACATAATGACTGTTCCCTTAGTGACAGTTTCCTCGTAAGTGAACGAACACATAAGCACAGACTGAACTGAGTGAGTGAGTGGGTGAGTATGACTTTACGCCGTTTTTAGCCAAATTGTACCCATGTGGGGAATGGAACCCGGGTCTTCATGAGCCTACTCAACCGCCCCCACCCATCAACAGAGAGAGTTAATGTCATATCCTTTTGTCTCCATGTATCTAATGTCAGCAGGTTCGACACACGTGTTTACATGCAAATGGTAGGCAAACATTTATAGGTTGGTAAGCCGTCATGTTCATCGATGATTTAGAAACTTTGATCGCATTAGTAAATGTAGCTCAAGTCAGATGAGAACCATTAATTGTTACATAAACATTAACATCATTTATTAAGTGCATTGTCACGCACGTTCTTCGTTCATTTCTTTTTTAGCGACAGATGCTGCCATCACTGTCTGTACCAGCACATGTCCAATATTCTTCACTATGACATTAGGCAATATTTAGTGAGAGAATGCAAACAGAAAAGAAAGAGGGATAGAGAGGGCGTGTCTGTTTAAAAATAGGCCTGGTTTCAGTGCAACATGAGACGTTACAACCATTGAGGATTTAAGGCGTGGTGGTATTTGTCTTTATTCATTGACAATAACTAGAACTGGATTGTTAGGTATCAAAGTCTTAAGTAAATATATTAAATGGATTGGTTTTATGAGCTACGACCCGCGGCATCGGAATACGTTCACACACCATCAACCAACTGCAAGTCACCGAACCAGACCACCCCATTAAGTCGCCTCTTACGACCCCTATATGTTCCTGCTAATGGCCAAGTTGAACCGCAATCCCTAAAGGTTTCCAATATAGTCGTCTTTCACGACCAGCAATGGATGCTGGGGACACATTCCACCCATGTGATCATGGTGAACGAATGACAAAGCAGTTAAACATACAACAGTTCCCTTCCTAGTAGATGTGAAATGGAAGATTACTACAGTAAAACGGCGTTGTGTCGAAGTTGACGGTACCTTTGTAAATACTTTGACTTATCCAAGTCCACACGCACAGGCATATGTTCACATGAGTTCATGCAAACCTTTTGAATAGACATAACATGCAAATATACTCCATATGAAAGTCGTCATTCCCCGTCGCGGTGTGTGGTCCTGTGCATTGAGCTCAGGTCACATATCAGTTCACGTTAAACAACGATTGGTGACCTTGTTCGGCAGCTTGACTCCTGACAGTTTCTAGGACTTCGGTCCTGCCCCACAACGAAGCACTTGTGATACGTGTGGTCTCACCTTAGGCAAGTGACTTTGTTCAACATTGCCTCTGTTCACCCAGCAGTCTTTGAGCATGCACTTGGTGTATGAAATTTAGTGCTATAGAAGTACACATTATTATCATAATTATTAATGATGGGACATCGATCCATTTCTAAGTTGTTATTCATACAGAACATATCTCATTTATTTCATCGCAAACCAACTTGACCTTGGTAAACAGGAAATCAAGATCATTAAGCGTCATGCAGCAAAACCATTCTCCTGAAAAACACTACCTACAATATCGACTACAGGTTCATTAGACACATCTGAAAATAGCAAATTACATCTACAGACAGATACATATTAGATCAAACAATGATAAAAATAGTATAGACTATTCGAGTAAAGAATCACTGATGTTCTAAGACGGATGGACCTAGATGTTCGCGAAAAGGTGAGCATACCCCAACCTTCAGAGCCCGTCACAAACACATGCAAAAACGTTCACCTGTCCCTTGATTGCTAGATTCTCCCGATGGTGATTTTTGCTTTGTTCGTTGGTAAGACTATATTTGTGACTACATCCGCGTTACTTCTTACCATATTAATCTCTTCCTGGGCAGTTTCACTCCTGGCATTCTCAAACGTTATGGCCGTAAAGCCTATGGACACCACCAACTTCAGTTTAAATGCCAAACTCTTATTAGTCTGAAATGATTTAAAGATTGCCCCGATATAAGCCTCGGGTTGGCATTTGATATCGAAGTGACAGAGGACTTGGTGTCAAGGTTGGAGTGGTAAGAATACTCTGACATAGTGTTCATCTCTGGGTTGATATTCCCAAATGATGCTCGCACCTGCAGCTACCGGAGAGTACTCGATTCTAAGCCTCAACAGCATTTCATCGCATCCCCGTGGAATGGCCAAAGGCGCTGGCGTTCAAAGTTAATTAGCGACAATTGTGTTTACTTCCCTTTCCAAAGATAAAACATCGCTCTTAGGGATTGTTTAAATAATATCCGAATCACAAGCTTTTATTCCCGTATTTTTGATAACATTTATTAACGTATCTTTGCATTTCCAAAGAGTTATTTGAAAAGCAAATGTCCTAAATTGATTACGTGCACGCTAGGAACAAAGACCCATGGCATATAAAGCAATCAGCGTGATGTAATATCCATAAAGAAATACCACAGGTCTGCCGATATGCTTTCTGATGGCGAGTGATTGAGACAATAAGCTATATCGTCGACAGTAATTTTCTCAATGGCTCTACATGGGAAGTGGGCAAAATGTCTCTCCCTTGAGGCTGGACTTTATGCCTGGAAACAGACATTATTATCTGAGTTCCGTTAAATGAAGATTAATAGCTCCGGGAAGACTTCGGGATAACGACTCAACCCTTTTAGAGACAAGCCATCTATTCGCTATTAACAAACAGCCTTATTACGCGCAAGGTCCACTCACCATAGTTCACATCAGGTTGAGACTGGCACCTTGAATTCCTCTAATAGGAACGGCTCTAACGGTAATTATGAAGATGGTTCGGAAGCCATCATGTACAATTTCATGTATTTGTAGCCGACGTCAATTCCTATTCAATGTTTTGCCATTGAATTATTCCATTTCCTAATGTATCTTCACTCCTGTGGTTATTAATGTCCACGGAAAGTGGAAAGGTATTTAGACGAAGCCAGGGCAAAGAAGTGAAAAGAAATGGAGGACAAAGACGTTTCGTATACTGACGGGTGGTCTCTGTTATCAGGACTTTACGATGATTTTCTTTGAATTATCTTTCATATAATTACATTTGCTTTGCCATGAAATGTTTTGAATGCTCAATCATAATATATTGGTACATCCGAACGTTGGTTCATTTTGGTTTTATACGACAAGCAAACAAAGCCATGTTTCAAACCAGTCGTAAGGGCTACGGTATTGTTATTACATTATTTCCAATTGAAGCGAACCCTGATCGTTACGGCTGTCCCAGTTCAGATTTTTCGTCTAAAGTTTACTGAGTAAAGGTGTTGGTAATGTTTTTAACTCAGGTTAAATTATTGTCTTTAAGTGCACAACTGTCAAGATCTACACACAACCAAACTCAACCCAGCGAGAGGCATTGGGTAGCCTTGTGGTTAAATCGTTCGCTCGTTACACCGGAGATCAGGGTTCGATTCCCAATATGCCTTCATATATATGTGAAGCCAATATCTGGTGTCCCCGTAGTGACATTGCTCTGATACTGCTAAAAGCGGCGTAAAATCTGACTCCCTCACTCAATTCAATAGAGTGATCCAAGGTACCTCGTATACATTTTCTATGCATGGGTTCTGATGCCAGATACGTTCTGAAGATTATGGTAAATTGTCCTTAGAATACGTATGCTTGACGGATTCACCGAAATGTTATACGTCTGTTCCCATCCACAATATGCTCATATAACGTCACAACTTGACATAATGTTGGGTTGGTGGGATAGGCTTGCAGT